GAGAATCAAATGGAGAATCTTCCAGAGATGAAATGTGATAACAGTTAATAGTTGAATCAAGAGTGGACTGGCGTGGTTGCGCACATCAAGATCACCGGCTGCAGATGCGTCTTTATAGATTACTATCATTTCAAAATCGAGGTAGTCAAATAATTAGATAATACTACGAAAATATAGGTATCTAGCTTTCTGCACCTCTTCATGATTGGCAGGTAACCGTTTATTTCTACACTTTCCCAAAATCTGGCCGTATTTTATTAGGTTGAGCGAAAGTTTTGATCGACTCTTCATCCCTTTCTAGACTCTTTCGTGGGACCGTTCGGAAGGACTTTGTAATAGGTTGCGAGTTCATTCAGTTCATCCCTAGCCTGTACTTTGGTGGGATATATATGTATATACTTTCCCTCGTAAGTTCTTCACAGATATGACTTCAACATTCAACTGTCGTCTGAAGCTGTCTGAGAGCTATCGTCTATCACGAATTACAGTAAGGGTATACTCCATCGATAGCTGTCGCAGATATCTGCGGTGCATCCAGAAGAGCGATCGTATCTCAACCCACGGGTGCCTCGTGATGAAACACCTTTAAGCCAAGCAGAGGAGTGGACTACGTTTGAGGTAGCTTTTACTGTGTGGTCGATGGACATTCTCAGGGAATGCTCTACTTTGGATAACTTACTGAGGGTTTCACCATGACCGCCGAGATTTACGCTTCTCAGCTTCAGAGTTTGGATGACGTTGTTCGAAGGCAGCGAAGAAATATTTGTCTGTTCACAACAGCGCTAACCACATAGTGCGGAATTGTTTTGTCGGAAAATCGCTGATCTTAGATGGGACGTACTGCCCCATTCTCCTTATTCGCCAGGTCTCGCCCCTGATTACCATTTGCTTCTTGCTTCTCTGCTTCTTGCAAACGTCACAGTCGCGATAGAAACTTTGATGATTGCTCGGAACACAAACTTGAGGTTTCCAGCTTTTTCTAACAGCAGCCGCCGCCATTCTGAGCATCAGGAATCAAAAACTGCCGGATCGTTGGACATATGTTGGAGACAACGACGGAGACTACATAACTAATTGAGACCCTCTTTTAATGGAAATAAGACTTTCTAAATGAAGTTTTTACTCAACCATAGGAATGGGCAACCACTCCCTTGCAACATACGAGTGAGAGTTACCATATTGCCACACGAGTCATTAGTCCTCCGGCTATTGTCCTCGAATCCCAGTGAGTTTTTGCAATTGGTTAGTGTGTTGCAACTTGAAACAAAGCATACCTGTGCACAGTTGCACCAACAGCGAAGCAACACCTTTTCCCAATAAAAGCCAAATATCGCTTCTGGCGCTTGTACCCCTCACGAACAGGGAGCTGTCGCCTTCTTGCACAGCTGATATAGGGTAGCCAGCTTGCATCACCTGTATTAGTCCCCTCTAGAGTGCTCTCAAGCAAAGCTGTTCCCTAAGTTGATTGGAGTCATAGTGCTGAAGCTTTCTTTAAACCACGATGGTGTCGAAGTCATTTGACCGTGGTATGGGATAGAGCAGATGATACGGTAATATAGCTTTCGGTTTCGCTTTCAATTCCTCAAAATTCTCCATTGACCGCGAGGGATTCACATCAACATCTCTGAAGACCTTAAGACTGAAAGCTTCCTAGCCATCGAAACACTGTAGGGTAATAGAAGGCAAATGCAGCGGTTGGGTGCAATCTACCCTATGCCCATGCACATTCCTAGCAACATTCTTTCTAAAGCGGCAAGGAAAATTGGCGTTTTGAAAGTGTTGCATGAATTGAGATCCATTCAATGAAATCCTTCGCTGCTGATGAACTGAGAAAGATGCAATCATGCTATTCCATTGAGTGCATATTGTGAGAGCTAATAAGGGCAATGCATTTTAACACTTAAATTTCCACTAGAGTTAAAATGAAGCTTGTCTTTCTCTACTAACTAAATGTGATAACCTAAAACAGCATCACTTTTTCAACGCAGTGTGCAACGAAAACCAATTGGTGTTGACAAGCCTTTTGCGAGCTTTTTTCTCGAAAAATCTCTGTCAATGAGTCATATTTGTTCGTGGAAGCAGGTGCAAATGGAATACATCGTTATTATCTATAAAAGAGGGATCTCTCAGGAAAAAGCATCGCATCCAAATGTTCGTGCTGTGCCCAGTACTGGCTCTCTTTGTACCAATTTCCTCTGCAGAGGGTGAGTACTCAAATTCTGGCTAACTTCGCGAAGCCCCCAACAATGATTTCATCATATTCGCGAAGCTGTATTATCATAATTTGAGAGTTTTCTCTTTAGACTTCGAAACTCCATTAGACGATAAAGAAACGTTCGAGACACTCAACAGTATGTACACCAATGACCTGGTCAGTTTCTTCAATAGTTTCAACTCACACTTACAAGTAATGTACAAGGTGCAATTGATAGGTTTGGAGTGATGAATGGGCCAAGAAGGCACTGGATTGGGCAAAGTCTCCAGAGTACAGTGAAAATGTAGATCCTGATTTGGTTGTTGCAGGAAGGGGGTTAGCGCCTGCTTTATTACAGCTTTTTCCTTTTCACCAGTCTTTTCACAAATTTTCAGCTTGATTGTCAATGCGAGTGACAAGCCAGTATGGCAAAAAATACTCGACGTCTTAGAAGGCCAGTTTGATGAAGCAGAAGCAGAGGTGAGTCGGCGGCGTTGAGGCTGTTGAGTTGCAAGTAAATTCCCAGTTTTTTGTGAAGTTTAAGAAAAAGGCTAACAATATCGACCCAACTCTTCCGAAAATGTTTCAAAAAGCACGGCGAGCCATGATAGGTCTTAGAAGAAAGCCGCGCACCTCAGCTCTTCATTCTAGCCCTTGCATTATAATTTGTATCGAGATACAAGGTAAACAAATGTCATCACTGATATTGTTCCCAGGCAATTTCATCCTCTGTTACATGGAGAGGGCTACCTAAAATTGAAAAACTGTGTTCAGCTCGAAAGCCTTCCCCCAGGCACGGTGTACGGATGCAGCGGCTATATGGGCACAAGAAATACGAAAGATGATTACGTCACTGCTGTATGTCTCTATGCAAAACAGTAAATTATCCGCATTTCTTCTTAATGTCTCAATAAATTAGTTGAAGAAGTGAAGCACAAAATGTCATTTGTTTCAAAACAGTTGCGTGAAATAGCATGGAGTGGTAGTCGAGGCTGTATGGCTTGCATACTTACGTTCAATAGTTTTACAAGCGTTTCTACAGTACAATGCTGCACAAACCGTTGTGTGGCGGAAAAGTTTCATCTTCAAGTGAGAAGGCTACCAATCCGACAGGAAAGACTTGAGGTGCATTTCCCCCGAGCAATTATCGATCCTGGGTTGATCTCCGGTTTATCCATAGTTAGAGGGATCACACGAGCTAATCCTGGTATGTAATATATTCATTTCCAATCTTTTTGAATGTTTAAAGAGCAATACTGCGGCCAGGTTGTAGTGATGCTCATATGAGCCACCCGCTCCTAAGGGTCTTAACAATTGGCATCGCTCTCCTTGCCCGTACCACTTAATGCCTAAAATATGCTGAACGTGCAGGTTTTAGTGTATCCTGAACTAGGCACATACAAAAGTCTCTTTCTTTTATGTTTTCTGATTGCGAGTGTTAGATTTTTCTATTTATAGTAAGAGGGCTGCCACTAGGCTGAAGCAATTTTGAACATTCCATAGCGGTTCGATATCTATGATTGCTTCTCAGTAAAGTAAGCTCTTCGCGCAAAAGAAGCTATCAGGAAAAAAAGCCATAAATATGATAGCAGCTGCCACTATTTCTCTGACAAATAAAAGTTTGCTACTTTCTCGGTTTGGTATCGAGTTTAGAGTCTTCTACTGTACCAGATAGAAATGGTGAACAGTAGAGTCATGGAACTCTCTCACGCCGATGGGAGATATATAGGTCTTCGAGGATCGCAGTTAAAGAATCCGAGATTTTTTTTACCACGGGACACTCTTCAAATGATAGACTCCGCGTTTTACCGAAGTGGAGTCACGGTTATCAAGTCAATGAAGTGCTAGTGTACGCCTATTATAAAAGAGGCAAGATGATGTCAAACGATCAAAGTCGCTAGTAGTGAGTGTCAGTCGTTGATCCTTCTTCACCCCGTAAAGTCGCTGATATAGCAGAGTCGTGTCTTTGACCCTGACTTACTGTTAATAGCTGGTTCAGAAATTTCCTGATTTTCCCACTATTCCTAAGAGCTTTTCCGCTATTGTACCCTAAGATCTTTCATCGCTAGTGCTTCAATCTCTCTATGACTTCAGTAGGAGAAGATTTCGAAGTTAATTCCGACTCGATGAAGAGTCGCATATGGATTTGAAGGCGACGAACCAGGACCCCACTGATATCGTCGACCACGATTTGGACAGAAAGAAATATCTTCTTGCTCATCGATTCTGATATACGTAGCGTTCGAGACTGCTAAAGGTAAGACCTTCGTTCAGAAGGAGCTGAAAATACACCTTACAGAGTGGTATGAAACAGTTCTCAATTGAAGTAACTTCTAACTATGTAGATGACTGGCCTAGTTTCTTGTGCTCTGCGATAACTTGTTTTGATAACGATGGTCAAAAGGTCTGAGGTGATTCGTGAAACGACTGGAAACCAAACCTGTAGAATGGTCATGGAAATGTTTACTGCATGTTTGGCCAAAAATTCATTCGCTGGAGTGTCACCTTATTCTGCAGAAAACTCACTTGCAAATAGTGGTGTACTCTCGAGCTTCTCACTTCTATTATACTTTCGACAGTGGGAGAAGTAGTTCAGATATGAGATTGGATTTTGGAGATGCTGCTCAAGAAATCAATGCAGAAGTGAAACGAGCCGACTCCCAAATCATGAAAACATGAGATGTCTAAGTTTCTTTCCACTGCCGATTTGTCGAACGCTTCCGTGAGGCAAACGAGTTATTCAATGCTCAAGGAATTGGTGGGTTCTTTACCAACATGTGAAGAAACTTCGCGAGCTCCTCGATACCTCTGTAGTTAGGATCTCATGACTCTATAAGGAGGTCGTCATCCTCACAATAAAAGGCCCGACGAGGCGATAACATCTTGCCCACACTTTTCATCCTCTCCTCTGAAAAAGCTATGCGTCAACTGGAATGGAAAGGCAGTGGAGTGCGTCCAGTTACCATCTCCGCTTCGAAAAAGAACACATTGCTCTTCTAACAGCGAAGGAGAGTGAATGCTGTTAGGAATTGATAGCCCTTATAAAATTTAATACGATTTCATTGACGATAATGTTCATAAGAAGGAGACCTGTTCCAGATACCCTTTCCACGCTTTTCGGAGCGAATGTTCCATCTAAGACCTGGAACCGAGCGTGATAAATGGTCTACATTCAAAATCAAAGCCGTGATTGGAAAACTGTGAATGCCTGGTTACCTATTTGATTTCAAGGATGAGTAGAGGAAAAGGTGGGCTCACCTCCCTCTAAAATCATCGGATACTCATAATTGAGCTCTTTAGTTCCACAAACGTGTCTATATTATCATAAAGCTGTGACCTGTTCACCACGGAGCACAATTAAGTCGGAAAAGGTAAGATTGGACTCACTAAGGAGCAGGAAATCGGGTCGACTGGGTAAGCCATGCGACGTAATGGCCATCACTGAATTGAAACTAGTTGCTACTACCTGAATCCCTCGAACCACCTACTCCGGCAATCGCAGTCACGGGCAACGCTAAAACTATAACTACGAAGATGTCACAGATATCTGTGATCAACGAGACAACCCATAGATGAGAGTGGACAATCTTTCAAAGATCTGGAACTATTTAGGGAATAGTTAAAATGTGTTCGGTGTCAGATATTCCGGCATCGCTGTTCACGACGAGCATTTCACTTTGTCGATTTTCTCACGGTAGTGAACAGATATGTTGGCAAATAACAGCTTCGTTGTACTGCCATAGCTTCCTCAAATCGCCTTGGAATAAATACCAATGAAAATTGTAGTGGTCCGAAATCAGAACGACCTTCAATATCATTTTTACTTGATAAGTTAATAGAATATAGAAACAGAGTTGTTCCCAACGGGGTGTCTCAAAGTGAGCTATCAGTTTTATTTGACTGGTATTGGCTGGCTGGTAGATGTAAGTGATATGATCAGTCTCTGAGTACGTCAACAAGCCTTGGGCCCAGGGCTTTCATGGTGTTCCGCCGTCATGAAGGAACACTGAGTGAAATGTAAAAAATAAACTCAACAAAAGTTGTTTAAAGGCGCAGTGCACAATAAGAATGGCTTACAACACTGCGATAAGATGAATTTAGGGCCTCCTGTTATACCATATGTGGTCAGATCGGAAAGAGGCCGGGATAGGACGCTATAGAGTCTTAAAGATTGCACAGTGTTTATCTTCGGACGAGTTACACCGTCACTATTAAGGCTGCACCAATCGCGAGGGAACCCATGTGGGAAGTTCAAACAGCTCGACATGACCCATAGTGACAGTGAACGGCAATCCTGTACAGTTTTAGCTTGATGTTGTCAGCTCTTTGCGATTTCCACTTCCAAATACCCTTTTCATGGTAGTTCCATCATGGTAGACTCGTATACCCTCTATTTTCACTATTTTAAGGAGCCTCATTTGTAGAATCGGCGAATTTTGTGTATGGGTTTATATTGTCTTACTGTAGGGGCAATTCCAATGCTTGTTCGACTTTCAGGTTCTGACGAAGGCGAACTGCCGAAACCTTAGCATCATAAAGTTTGAAATTTGGGAAAGGCTGAAGCAAGCATACATACGCAATGATTCCGTATGTGGCTGATGTTACAATGACTTGTGGTGGTAAGCTGACGTTCGAATCTATCCCAGATGCCAACTGATCGGCCTCGGAAACCTGAAAGCCTACGCAAGTACCAAACCAGAATTCGATATATGGGTGATAGTGCGGTACTTGGCCCAACACCATCCCGGCCTCCCACATATGATAAATGGCTTGAGTTCGATAAATTGAATAGGGAAAGTGGTAGAGGGTAATATTTATATTATATAATGTTTTAGTATCCATTACAAATGTAACCCGCTCTGTGTATCTTCGGCGGATCACCCACTTGGAAGACACCCGGAAGATTGCGGGGTTGAGTATGACATGATTGCTACAAAAAAAAAACGTCCTAGAAAGGGCGCACTGGGGCCCTACGTTCGTTTGAATTGCCCCGTACAGTCAAGGACACCTCGTTCCAATGAAGGTACCAGACATACAATGGGGTATGAGGTTGCGAACACCAGTGAAAGTTACAATCAAGCAGGAAATGACCCGGACGCCCTCGTCTTTCACGTTTTTCTCAGAACGCTTCTCAATGGGGTACAGGGGTTTCATTCTGTCTATTCTAGGCGATCTCTTCAGGGTTTTTCGTCATTGATGGACCCATTGCACCTATATATTCCATCTTCGCCCATCACTTATATGTATGCTACGCGTTGGTGAAATTCGTCTCTAAGTAGTTTACGTTCTTGTCAATGGCTCCTCTCTGGCTCCGAGAACAATCTGCACACCAAATCATTATTCAACGGAATCTAACAAGGTGCTTCTTAAGTTCATGGTCGCGCGTCTCTTCATATGTGATCAAAGCAGTTGAACCCACCTTGCCTCCAGCCGATCACTTTACAAAATAAATATATCATTCAGCACTCAAATACTGGACCTGCACTAGAGCGGGCCGACTTTTTGGGACCTTCCCTTCTTCCTTGCCGCCCAGTCATTGTTGTTTTCATTGAAGAACTGGCTGTGCTGATCAGATACGACATTCGTTTTTCTAGAAAGAGCTGTTGAGAAGTTATTGAGAGATGGATGTTTTAAAAACTCCTAGTCATGAAGAGTACCTGTTTAGACCTTCCCATACCCTCATAAATCATCTCGGCCGTTGCTTTATCGATATTCACTCACATCAGACGCTTTCTGGGGTTCAAGCCACCTCTTTAGAGGTACAGTTGCTTTGGTTCTGCTACTATGAGTCTCACTGATGACAAGGAAAGGGCTGCTTCAGGCATTCGATCTGTTTGGATTGAAGTTCGTGTAAAAAATAAAGTTTTCTAAAAAACCTTCCA